ATTAAATAAAATTCCAGTGTAATTTCAGTTGCTGGAAAATTGTGCAATTTTTTTTTCGAGTGTAAACAAATCAGGAGTGCAATTTGTTTTGAAAACTTTTTTCCTCTTCCCGAGAGGCATCCTCGGATCAAACAGGAACGTCGAAAACCGGTACCAGAAATCTCCAACCGGTAAAAGTTTCGAGGACAAGGAGAAGAGAGATGAATACCGTGTGGAGGTGGGTATTGAACAAGGATGAATAAAAAACCGGTTTCACGAGTGGTAGAGAGACAGCAATGGATAGTAAAAGAGAGTTCTTACTATAGCGTATTTACTCCGATCGGTAGAATACAAGAACCAGTCTAAGCTATACCAATTGGAGTAAAAGTTTACTGTACTTAATTAAAGGGATTCATCACACGTCAGATCAGAATTCTATGTTAATGTGGGGCCCGAATTCCAAATCAATCATTCGATAGACGAGAGTAAACGGTCCAGCAGAAATCGTCAATAAATTCAATTTGTCAAAACCCGACATCGAAGTAAAAAAATATTGAATAATTTACGTAAAACTCATCATTTATTCCTGATCCTTCAAACTTTGTCTTCAAGTCAATTAAATATATTGGAAATTAATTACATTTTGCTTCTCCCATTTTTCAAATGAATTAACTTCGACCGCGTAAGTTTACTGGACACAAGCAAATGAACAGAAATGAAATATTTGGATTCAAAATGCTTTTTATGAATTTTTCTTACTAATGAATCTAGTTGGTAAAAGTAATTGCTTTTTTTCTGATTGTTCGGGGGATGCTGTAGGTCCCAAGTTTTGGCGCAAAAAAGGGTTCGGAATGCATCATCCAGGGGGCGCCACAGCTTCGGGGTAAGGACCTACGATGGAAAGAAGGAATAGTATGACTCACAATGAACTTGATTGTAGAAAAAGGAAAAGGATAAATCAGATTGATTACACTTATTTTTTCCACTCGTCTTAACAAGTCAGGGTCCAGGTTTTAACGCATGTCAAACAGTTCTGTTTCGAGTATTTGTCCGTCGTTAATTTATTTATTTATTTCATTGTTTGGAATTAAAAAATGGAGGCAATGGATCATTCTTAAATCAACGAATCTGAAATTTATCATTTGTACTTGGATAATATTTATGAAAAATATTAATTTTACAATTATTCTCAGTGATTAATAAATATGAGAAATTCTAAAAATTTAGGCGGGTCACAAAATTTTCAGAAAGTTTAATGGTAATTGTTCTGAACTTTGATTAGTTAGTCGAAACATTATCCGAATGATCCAATTAGGATGAATTTTTGAATAAAGGTTTTGCGGACAAATGGATTTGATTAATTAAATTTTCTTTACACACCGAGTCTACACCAGTTTTTTGGGAGATCAATCAATTACCATTGTGTATTAATCCAATGTACGTATGGGCGAGAAGTAATTGATCAATACAGAGATATGACAATTGTGCCGTAGGCAGGTTATAATCTTGTTCCCATACCGACAAGTAGGAAAATCTCTCTGTGAGACAATTTGTCGAACCCTTTCACCCCAAATTGGTAATTGTTAATAATCCATAGAGTAATAATGGATAGTCAATCCAACCACTAGAAGCGAAGGAGACATTTCCAATTAACTCAAAATCCAAGGATACATTTTCCCCAATTTTCCCACGTCCTATCAATATTCCGGATAAATATCAGGATAATAACACATTAATTACATTTTCCATTAATTTCCCCAAAACTTAAAAATTGTTGGTGATATATAATAAAATGGGAATATTCTGGTCACATTTCCGTTAAGGATTCACGTATATGAGAATAATATTTCGCAATAATTTGGAATAATTTGTAATATTTTGCAGTAATTAGAGACTAAAAAGAGGATTAGAGGCTGAAATGAGAGCCTTGCAGGGTCGCATATCTGACGAAAGAATCAGAAAAGCAGAATACAGTTGGCGCCCTCCTGTCAGCCCTGAACTCGACATAGAAAATTGCTGCGATCTGTGCGATGAGCAGTAGAAGTCATGTGAAACTTGAAAGAGGAAAAACAGTTCCGGTAGGTACTTCCGGTTTTGATTATTCCCCCCTCCCCCTCCCACCCCCTCTCCCCCACTACTTCTTTATCCCCACACCTCCTTCCTCGCTCATACACACATTTCCATCGTTAAAAAAAAGCCGTATTGTCCGTTCTCCCATATCGTGGCTTCACTCATTCGCTTTCCTTCGCGTGGTCACGGTACTTGAATCACGTGGGACCTAGAGTATTATCCAGATTTCACAGAGCAAACCCGCTGACCTCGACAAAATCGACATCAAAGGGAAAATTTAATCGGTGTATAGATGGGAGGAAAAATGACAGACAGCTTGGAATATTTATAATTAATTCCATGGGATTTTAATTATTCTATTCCACGGGCTGTGCAAAGGGTAATTACTTTCTGACGTGTTATTGCTTCAGCTGTAATTACGCAGATGAGTCAATGGAATTTTTTTTTATTGATTTGCCGATCCTCAATTGCTTTTCAAAATACAATTTTTTGGCATCTTTTTCCCGTGTTTTATTGATGTAATCGATTTTGTAAAATGTGCAACCTAGATTGAACATTTGAAAAAAGAATTTCTTATGTCGATCAGCTTTACGTTAATCGAGGGAAACTGCACAGTAAAAGATAAATGTTTCCTTGAAATTCCATAAATTTTCCAGCGATAGAATGTTTTTTGCATTGAACGGGTAATATTCGTGAATTATTGTGTAATAAATCTGTTGGGAATGAAAACTTTTACGATTTACTCTCTTAAAATTTGCACTTATTTCCGTGATTATGTCTTTCCATAATGATTGTACTGACCTCGGACTGAAGGCTACATTTAAAAAAATGAAAAATTACGTTTCGACTGAACTTTCCAGAAAAACGAAAAGTTAATTTTTCCAAATTTATCCATTTTGCGCTCCGAGTGCTATTGTTACGCCATTTTTATGATAATTTCAATGATTTTCTTCCCTCCGAGTGGAATCTGGCCATCAACACAAAGCACCTATTCAGAATGAAGAATAAAAATAAATCTGGCCCCGACAATATTTTTTTTCTTCACCGCCAAGTGTTACTGTTCGTTAGTCCCAAAGTAGCAGCTGCTTCCTCAGGTGAATCAGAGGATCCACCAAAAGTGCACCTGCTTCAATTGGACTCGTGCAACAGGTTTTGTTCTACCACTTTAAGGTACAACAGTACCTGCTGAGTTTGACTTCATATGTACTTGTGCATCCTATTATTTCCAACCAGAACGAGGGGCCCGGATGTATGGCTCAGCGATTGCCATTAGTAATATCGTATTTGAGGGACCTCCAAGACATTTCAACAGTCCTCTGGGCGGTTTTCTCATTGTTCTTGATTTAGTGTTCCTGAGGGGACCCCATCGTGTTCCAATCTACTTGAGCTAATATCATTTGAAAATTATCAAGGGCACGATTTCCCCTCTTCACTCTCTCGATTAATAAACAACATCAATTTTCAAGACTCCCTGCATCGAAATCGTTAATTTAAATAATATTCTTTTGACTTAACGGAAATTTATTCAATCCTCATGATTAATTGAATCCAATTATTTCTATCCATTATAATTATTTATGTGATATTAAGAAATATCTTTGCATGCCGGAAGCAAACAGTTTATTCATTAGCAATGAAATTAATGAAGTTAACGAAAACTCGGCCTCATAACTCCTCGGTCTCCGAGTAATTGAGCAATTCAGTACACTACAAAGGAATTCAGCAAATATAAATATTATTACCTGACATTGTTTTGAAAACATCAATACCAATGACTTCTGCCAATTCCTCTCGGAATATACGTGCAGATTATTTCCAGGGCAAGTAATTTGTGGTGAGGAAAATAAATGATTAGCAGTATTTGAGTAAAATTTTTTACTCCTTATTTTTTCCTTTCTAAATCTCCCTTTGAGTTATAAATTCACTCATAGACATCCACCCATTTCGTTGGTCCGTTAATCCCTCTTAGACATTCACGTCATCTTCTACCCGAATCCATTACCAAAACCGTCTATAAGAATATCGAGATTGAAGAGTCGTGTCCAGATGAGGTTCGTATAACGATTCTTCCGGCTATTTACGACAGCCCCCGATAGATAGGGATCAGATGCAAGTGTCAAGTAACAAAGAATATCTCCAGCTGTCTTAACTTACGTCGAATCAGGGAAAAACGATTATAAGAAAGATGAGAATTCATGAAGGATTGAATTTGAGGATGTCATCAACTAGTTCAAGAATAATTTTTTAACAAAAAATCATTTCTTGCTGTATCGGGAATAAATGCCACATCCTCTTGGAAAATTTCTATTACCTTTCATAAACCAATAGCTTCTAAATTAGTATTTGCTTTTTGTCAAAAGCGTGAATGATCGAGAATGATTGATTTCCATTCCACGAAATCATTGTAAATAATTGAAAATCATGAAAACCGGTAATAATAGTAATCACAAAGATTATTGTGTCACAAATGGCAATTACCGACTCCTCGAACAGGAATACTTTTACAGGAAAGCTTTCACGTGACGGACTACGTCCCCTTGACGGCGTCCCCTTGACAGCATCTGTATACATCAAATACATTTTTATAAAATGAGCCTTGAACCTAAAATATAAACAGTAGATGAAGACCGGATGAGGACGAGGTCTAACGTCTCAAGACCTCGTACCTTCACCTCTTGTGAGGTAGACGAGTTGGATACAAGGTCCCTCCCACGATCAGTAACAAAACACTAGTGTAATTTCACGGCTTGGCAATGACCCCCAGAATCTGCTTCAATCATGGAAACATGGGGTAGACGATGAAGGGTTCACCACCGAAGGTAATTACTTCCCGGAAACCGTCAACACATATTGGAGTTGAAAACGTAAACGGTACTACATTTCGCACGTCAAACTACTCAAGTACTGATGATTTAGCCAACGTCATCGATAGTGACAATTGAATTACTCACTTGTATTGCGCTATTGAGGAAGCAATTGTTTTGGCCAGGTTTGTTGAGCAATCCCTTGGTACCATTGAAACTCGTGTTGTGATCTCCAACATTCAGCTGATCATCTTGGCTCTGCACTGGATTCTGCAGTGGATTTTGCAATGGATGTTGCACGTGATTCATGATTTTCGTGTGAGATGATTGCAAGTACTTCGAGTACTCCAGCCCATTCTCACAGCTTCTCTCCTGCTGAAGCAGCTCCATCATTGTCACCATGACATCCACGCAATCTGCACAGAATTTTAATTTATATAACTAATAACTCTGTCAATGTCATTGAAACGCACGCTTCTACACGATCGCACGCAAGCCCTCGTCTCGCTTCTGACAGGTCTCTTCACCCAGATAACATCGTTGCGTGTTAAAAGATGTTATTAGTTTAGATGCAGTAGACAATTAAACTGGCACACCTCGTCGGAAGTACCGAGGGAACCCTAGACTATTCACATCCAGGCGCCTCATCAAATCGTCAGTTATGAATAGCAATTTGGTGGTGAATAGCAGTGAGAACCATGAGAAAGGACTATATCTTCAATATTCAGTTAACGGGCAAAATCATTATCGAAGAGAGTGATGAATTATTTTTTAACGAATTAAGTCGCAGAACCGTTGATTCTGTAATGCTGTACGTGGGATTGGCCCTCAACTTAATTGTCATTGTGACAGTGACAGTGCAAAGATCAATGCACAATCCGAGCGGATGCTACATATTCAGTCTCACCGTCTCCAATATTTTTTCGTTACTGGAGATATTGGAGGACGTGCTTCAGTACAATTTCAACATCAAAACTAGTATCGATCAGGCTTATATCAATCGTATTGTCTTCCAGTCTTCCCTTTTGACTATTGTCCTTTTTAACCTAGATCGATATCTAGCCTTTTGTTGTTATGAATCTGTTTGGTATAAAAATCTATCTAACACGTCCACAGCGATTAAAGGAGTGTTCGTCATTTGGGGATTCACAAGTGTAAATGCAGCGTTTGAACTTCAATTGTATGACCTGTTTCGGGGGGAGACGGGAATTGCTGTTTATGTTTTTTTCACTGGGATGTATCTGATGCAATTTTGTGGTGCAGCTGTTGGTCTCAACTTATTAGTTTATGCAAGATTACGTGGGAGAGATCATGGGATAAAGGATGAAAACCAAAGAGCTCGTGAAACTGACGCTTTTCGATTACTCGGTAAAATCTTTAACACGAGAAAATGTATAAATCGGTAATAATAAATTCATCACAAATTAAGGAAATGAAGAAGATTGACACTTAATTTTTACGTAAATCAAATTCTTCTCATATAGATTGGCGCTTATACTTTTAATACATTACAAATGCATTTGAAATGTATAAATATTAATCAATAGTTAAGCAATATTGAGACAAAAAGCGTTGCTGCCAGGAATTACTTTGAGATAAATTACAATGCAACGTATGCATGAATAATCGGGTATTTTTCCGGTTATCGAAATATTCCTAGTTGTCACGTTCGCGGAGTGATAATAATACCCAATAGAACATAATATTTTTTTTCAGTCGGAATGATCTCTGTTTTCGTTATCACAATACTGCCAGACACCATTACTACCATAATTTACTACGTGCCATCGATCGATTGCTGTGGGTCTTCTACCATGTGCGTGATACATGATTTTATGAAATTTTCGACGATCGTGGGACCAATTGTTTGGGGTACTGTGTGCCAGTCATTTAGAGATGCAATATGGGTGAATTTTATCATAATTATTATTCTTTTCACAAAAATTTCTTATTATTAACCTTTACTTTATCCTTTTTTATAATTATAATTAATTATAATCGGATGAACTGTTTCAGGGGGTCGTACGGTGCAGGAGTGTCGACAAAGGTGAATAAGATTATAAAGAACAAATAAAGAATAAATAAACAATGGTAGAATTAAAAATAAGTTGAATTGGAGATCGGGAATAAATTTAATCGTCCCAAAAAATTCGAGGTTTCTAATATGTGTTTTCTATTTGCCGGTGACTCAGTGGGTGAATGAAGGAGATCCAAATGATTCCATAGAAAGCCTGAAGAAAATTTTTGTCCTCAATTCAGATGAAGATTCATAAATAAAGATAAGATACTCCCATACCGAGATCAGTACTCGATATTGAATGATGGATCTACGATCTTCCCTCCCTTGAATTTATAGAGCACAAGTATTACGGAATTTATAAGACCAATCAAGAGACAGATTCCAGTTGATTAAATTCGATGAATCATTTTGGAATGACACTTACACATCGATTATGTATTACGCTTTCACAACGCATCAGAAAATCCAGGGATTCACTCATGCCAGGAATTATTCAGAGACAACTATTCTCCTCTCTCGGAGACATAATAATTTTAGGCACACGCGGATACCAACATAACTATGCGGGGAGAATATATTATATTGTATATCTAATGAACTGAGAAGATTAATCCCACCCTCTGGATGGATGACACAAAAATCCGGAATAATCTCCCATCGACTTGATAATTACACATTCGAGTGATGTGAATGAAATAAAACGAGAAAACATCCTGGAAATGTACGGAAAACGCGCATGCTCGTAATTCAAATATTTACCGTTTCCGGTGTATAATCTATCCGCCGGAATGTTGAAAGATGGAATTAGAAATCGCAAATGATGAAATACAAGCGCATGTCATAAACAAAAAATCTCTGTAATTCGAAATTTCAAATTGTGATGAACGAGCGCACTGGGGAATTGATTCTCCTCACGCAGTAAACGAAGTTTTTAATCATTAAACAATAACTATTATTAATAATTTCTATATAATTTCCATCGTTTACTAATTATTGGATATTATTTCGTTCAATGCATTTACATTCAATTGATTTTTCACTTCATTCAATTCTCAATATTTTTACCACATCAAGGTGAAGTAATATGTTAATATATATAACATCGGATTAATACATAACATTATCGATCTAACATAAAAATAATTCCTCATCAACCTCATCAATTCATCTAACCGATCGATGCACGAGGAAAACCTTAAGATTCCAATGTGCACAATTGAAAATAAATTACTCAGAATAAAAATTCAATCTATTTACCACAAATTGATGAACATTTACTACTAATCCCAAATAGTCTCCAGTAAAAGCAACAAGTGGCTGTTATTCGTCGACAGTGGAAAATCGCCTGAATACTTCCATTGTTTACCCAGAATGTCAATCAATCCATTCAGTTCAATTTACCACTGCAATCAATTGATCGTCACAATTTCACTCTTCATTTGAACAATCACAGTGATCACATAGAGTTTTGCTATTTTCAATGAATTGATAAGTAGAAAATGAGTCTCTCAAAATTCAAAATAGCCATAATTGAGATAAACAAGAGTTTGGAAGACGTCAGTCGCTGACTGGCAGCCAATGTATACTGTTAGTCCATTTACTTCCATCCACTTCCAGCTAGGAAGGCCAGAAATTGAGCAAGATGGCTACTACCATTCTGCTTCATGATTGGATACAACTCCCTGTTGTATTCAACACTGTACCTCAACTTGCCTTAACTTTCCTCACCGCATGCCCTCTTTTACCATTTACACTCTTGCATGTACCGCGTACAGTTATTATTTGATAATTCAGCATTATGTCTCGTTGAACAACACGGGATTGTTGTACCTCAGACAATTATTCATTCGGAATGAGACACTGGATTGACAAGGAGGCCTGCAATTGTTTATACAATTGTATAAACCGCCAATATCGGTTGCCTCTCGGTGTTAATCGGTGTAAAATGCTTGGCGCACATGGCGCTCATGCAGCTCTTATATTGAGGAAGAAATTACTTTTGCACGTGTAAATTTAGTAATTGCACGAAAATTCACGTGCTTACAATGAAATATGGATGTACACGCTCAGAACAATAATTGTTTTAGAATTGAATGTACGCAAGCGGCTTTGCAAAAAGTTTTGTGCTTCAACCACAAATTATCGGATGTAATTAGATTCAGGATTATTACAATGATTATTAAATTTCGTCAAATTTCGTATTCTCTCGAGACAAGAAGCTATTCATACTTTAACCTTAGTAATAATTGAAAATATATAATGATATAATCATAATTATCTCTAATTTTTTTTAATTAAATCGAAATTCGACATTACCATGATTTTTCAATGCGATTTTCTCCTTTTCTCTACAAAAAAAAACGATCAATCAAAATGCGACTACTCCTCGGTCTAAAAAGATACAATCAAAACCGAGGAATGAAGATTACTCGATTTATACATTTTGTTCTTCAACTTCAGAACTAAACTTCTTTATGTGAACGATTGAAATCACATTCTCACGCAAAGACAGTCCAAATGAGGAAGTTAAATCATAAAAAGCATCATACCCATGACACCGAAAATGAATAAGTAATTCAAATGCCTGGAGAAGTTCCTAAAAATGCTCAATTTTTCCGATTTTATGATAAATCATGATTCTAACAGAAAACCTGAAACTGTCAAAATCATCTGATTATCTTTATGGCGCAGAAAATCACAAAAACCCCGGGCCGGGGGTTTATCAAATTTTGAATTTACCCTCGATCAATCGCAAGGATTTCACCTTCAGTCGGTAACGAAAATCCCTACCCTATCATCAGTCTCGGAAAGAGCGCAAACGCCCAATAAACTGTCTTCAAGATTATAATCCCCATATTTATCATCGAATTTTTTCAGTCTTCCATCGATGATAGCCGTAAAAAATGGGTTACAGAGTTCGCAAGAGGATCAAGATTAAATAAAAAGATAACGTGCACCGAATAAATATGAATAGAGCACTAAACTCGATCGCAAAATCTCCAATTCCCAGAAAACCTAAAAAATCATAACTATTAAAAGAATCATTGAAGAGTGTGATTGAAACATCATCATTTTACCCAAGTGACCAGTGAAAAATTATTGCAACATTGATTCCATAAATCTCAGTCTCACCAAATGAACAGTATTAATTATTTGTACATCGTGGTATGAATTATGGACAAATTGGCGAGGTTATGACGACCGATAGAAAGAAGGTCTGTTTCCTAATATTAATAATTATTAAATCGTTAATACAATTTGATGAATTATCAGTATTTGATGGGAGTTTGGTTACGTTGTTTCAGGTCTCAATGGAAATGTCTCTCTGACGAATGGATTGTACTCGTTACAATAGACAATTTATTAATTTAAACAAAAGGAAGAAAGGATAATGTATTGTTTACAGTGGTTAATTCCAGTTTTACTGATACCAAAACCAGTAAATCCAGCTCTACTCCAAACCCATGTGATGTTCATGGTGTTGTATTTAATTGGTTTCTTCCTGGAGCGAAAGCCATGTATAATATGCACACTTGTTTTTGTTGCTGCTGTATCTTTGATATGCTACAGCGGAGTTGGCAATTGTTTATTTTGGAGCAATAATTGTGAATAGTTATTAAGTAACCAAGCATGTTGTCGAGTGATGCTTGGAGGTTAACATTATCATATTGACCATTGATTGTTCTTAAAAAACAAACGTAAATACTATTAAAGTGAAAAATAGAAGGAAATATGTTTGATGATTGCATTCATTCAATTGAGTGAGAGAAATATTTATTCATATCAAATTTGAGTTGTTGTGAGGTAGGGAATGAATTTTTCGTCGAGGCAGAATTTATTTAAGTAGTAAAGGGGTAAAGAATAACAAGTCGATTTAATTTAGTTCAGTAATTCTGTGGAGAAGTGAGATAAGTAGAAGTTAACATTCTTTATAATTACTAATTTAGGAAGAACACATTAAAGAACTTTTGATAGATCATTAAATTTCGAATAAAAGAAGATTTCTGGCAGTTGCTTCTGAAATCAATAGGAAATCAATGGATACTCAATAAAAATCAAATTTGACTCGTCTCACTATATCTCGCTGGTGATATGTAAGTTAACGAGGAATATGTGCGAATTTAAGAGAGATAGTGAAATTTTTCTGAAGATTTTGTTTGAGCTCTTGAGAATAATTCCGATATCTCTCTTATATTCAGGGATATTTCTCGAAATGTTGGTTAGAGAACAAGTCGATTTGCTACTTCTTACCTCTTTACTAATAATTTGTAGATGCATATTCGAATAGTCGCAAATAATCAGTCATGACATAGAATATTTGCGAAATACTTGATCTCATGACAATAAATGAATTAAATATTTTTTCGATTCAAAAGGTCCAGAAGAGAACAGAATTCGTCGAGTATTTGGAACATTTTTCTTGTTTTGATACTCGAAGAATTCCAATTTCCGTTTATTAAATCCATCAGTGGATTTAATTGTTGATTTTTATTTTCGTTTGGTGTTAGTAGTTAGACGTTTTTTAAAGCTAGATATAATAGTCCGAATCATGCTGTCTCCGAATTTATCAAGTCATATTAAAATATTTAGGTGCGTGATTGTAAGCGAAACAGTTACAATTTCTGCTGATGTATTCAATTTTCCAATAATCAATAAAATTTGTAAAATCAGGGGATATTGAAGATCACCAGAGAATAGAAAGAATTTGGTATTGTAGAATTTTTGAGTGAAATAATTTGTCAATGCCAAAAATTAGGATTTCATAAAAGTAATAGAATTCTGTATAAAATAATGAACCAATAATAATGAGTGAATTATAATCACTTTCAACGAGTTTTGTTTGATTAAATGATTTTTTTTTATAAGATTCTCCTGATGTGGATATCATTATTACCTACAGATGGCAGTTGGTGAAAATGTGAAGGTTAACTCATGATTAATTCTACTAAATAATGAGAGACAACGTGTGCAGATGACAACAGAAAGTTGGGAAATGTTTTGTAGACGAGATTTTAAAAATTTTTAGAGACAATTGTTAATTCATTCCAATCATTATAATAATGGCGCAAAGTTCATTGAGTTTAGCTGAGAAAACGTTCATTCTTCATGGAGTTGATGTGAGTTGATATGGTCTCAAAATAAAATCAGCAAAATACGAATAAGCATGTGGATAATGGGACAATTATTAATTTCTAATGAAACAAATTGAATTGAATATTTTCATTGATAGACGATTTCAGAGAGGAACGTTAGAAGATATTTTTACAGTGAATTAAATTTATCTTTACAACATTATTACCAGATTTGGCTTACAGGCAGATTTTCGGACAGATGGACGTTCTCGTCTGGAATATCGTGCATTCGAGATAGAGACAAACGTAATGCCACAAACTAATGGTTCAGTTCGTCTGAGAATAGCAAATACGGATGTCTTGGTAACTGTTAAAGTGGAAATTGATTCTCCAACCCTCGATCGGCCTAACGAGGGAAAAATCGAGTTCTTCGTTGATTGGTAAAACGAGAAATTTGTCGGAAATTCCAGAGCTTCCATTTCGATTCCAATCTCAAGAATCTCTACATCATTTCCCCTCATTCCAGTTCTGCAAACGCAACCCCAGAATTCGAAGGCAAAGGTGGTGAGGAGCTGGGCAGTGAAATTAGTAATGTACTGACGAATGCTTATCAATCCTCCAACGGACTAGACCTGACGATGTTGTGTATTTTGCCTCATAAAAAATGTTGGAAGATGTACATCGACGTATTGGTGAGATGAACTACGTTCTCATCAGTTCCTGGACAGAGTATATCGGATTTTCAATTAATAAACGTTCCGCAGATTTTACAGTGCGATGGAAACTTGTTCGATGCTATTGGAGCAGCTGTGAAATGCGCTCTTTTCGCCACAGAAATTCCTAAATTAACTACTGCTGAAGTCGATGGTGATGACGCAGATATTCAGTTGTCGGATGATCCATTCGATTGTATCAGATTGAACGTTGACAATTACCCAGTTCTCGTTACTCTGTGCAAGGTGAACAAAATTTTGTCTTCCTAGTTTTTCCCTGAGTATAATTTTTTTTATCGTCTACTTGATTAGTCATTTTATCGCTCTTATGTATTCTTTTATAGATTGGAGACAACTGTGTTGTGGATCCAACAACAGACGAGGAATTGTGTGCAGCTGCTAATGTCGTGGTGTCAGTGACACCAAAGGGAAGAATCACCTCCATTGTAAAAACAGGATATGGAAGTCTCCAAACGTCTACATTGCTAAAAACTCTAGAGGTAATTATCCTCCATATCGTCAACAAAGTATTACAAAGCACAAATTCATCTAATTTCTTAATTGAACGTTTTTATAGAGTGGAAAAGAAGTGGGGAAGAGATTGAACGAGACTCTGATGGCAGCCCTGAGAAAAGAAGAGGCTCTCGGACCACAGCGACCTATATTTGGTTTTCTTGGATGAATAATATACGAAGGGGAATTATATTTAAGAATAAGGACCATTTCATTTGATTAAAAAAATACTAAAAACACTTTTATCTATTTTTTTACAATGTATTTCACTATCGAAACTCCCCATTGGTAATTTCATAAATATATTTTAATAATACCCCAATGTTTTTCCCATAAGGAGTCTCAATAGATTCGTCCTGCATCGTGTTTAAATCATCTAACGTGGGGACAACATGCATTGAACTACATTTCACAGAAGAATTCCATACACTGAGACACTTGACCCACACGACTTCCCCATTACAATGAAAAATTGTTTTAAACAATTCCACGCAGCGGTCCTGCAATACAGGATGTTGATGGGAATCTAAATAACACTCTGTCATGCTCAGCAACTGCCAGAGCGACTTCTCCTGCAACTTCAAATAATTCGCCATTGCCCCAACTTGAGACAAAATAATTCTCTGCAGTTTAAACATTTGTGTGAATCCATAAGGATTTTTCTCATCTTTTCCACGACTTTCCTTCGCCGAAATCTCCAAGAATTTGGCGATAGCAGGGCTTACTTTTTCGAGAGTGCGAGCCCTCACAAAATCCTCTGAGCATTGAGCTGTTGTATAAAGAAGTTGCCATGCACGATTCATAATAAGTATATTGGACTCTTTGAAGCGTTCTACTAGTGGCTGCCAAAGTTTATGAACTAACGGTAATAACTGATCTGTCCAGGGAGATAATACCTCCAGCCCTCCCTGGAGTATATCCATGGCTATCAGAGACTCTGGAATCTTCTTGGATGGCACAAAATTCAGACTGCACTGCATGACGTCCTCTACAAGTTTAACGTACTCTGGGACTTTGGTTTCTTGAGGATCTCCTAGATCATTGAACCCCCCGTTATTGCTTTCACCTCCAGATTCCATTTGTCCTTCACTATTCAGGATTCCTGAATCCTCGTCCATCAGTTTATCAGCCTTTTTAGCCTCCGAGTACTCCATCAAATCGTGGATAACTCTATCAGTGACACTCTCTGAGACTTTAACATTCTCCTCCATACACCCCTGACCGCAGACTTGCCGCCTGATACACAAAATAAACGTATACAATACCTTCAGTATGGAATGCGAATTGCTCCCCTCAACCGTAACTTTCAGTTGTCCCAGAGCCTCAGCAACGATATCCTTCAGGCAGGGGAGAAAATCAAGGGTACTGTATTCCATGACTATCATGACAACATCCAGAACCCCTAGGTTTTTCTCAAACCTTCGTAATTTCACAGTAACGTGATAGGAAATGTAATCAATATTATGCCAAAGGAAATTTGAGATGTTGGGATACCCCTGAGACTTGGCTAATTCATTGAGAGTGTGGAGACCAACGGAGCTGATCAATCGATTTTTATTGCCAGCTCTCTCGATGATGAGGTACAATGTCTTCAGGAGGTACTGCTGGTAATTCTCTCTCAGGATTACTGCAAGAATCCCAAGACCCTCCATGAGGAGACAATTCTGGAGGATGTTGCTTTGTACTTGATACAGAGTTGTCTCTTCCTCCACCTCAATAGGTAGATACCACAACTCCTGGTTGATGTAGTGATTTATCACCTGGGGATAGAGAACTTCGAGTGTGGGATTCGACGCCATGCATGTCCAATTCAGCAGCAACGTCAGCTCCTTCTGATATTGTGGTATATCAGACATTAACTCAATTATACTGTCCACGAGGATATACACATCCCCCAATTCCCCCATTAATTTACATATCCCGATGAGTTTGTCGAGTACTGCTGGGTCCAGAATGAATTTGAATTTCTTCCACGATTTTGTTGACAGATAACTAATGTCCTCCATCGTTGTTATCTGATTGTCATCGAGTATTGATACCTCGCGACAGTCCAATTCGATAACGTAAATCAGGGCTAGGAGAAGGCGTCGGAGATGGGCAATCGAGCTCATGAGCTTTGGCAGACGTTCTGGTCCAAATATCCTCAGGTACCCTGTCAATTGATTGAGATAGGCAAGCTGAGCGGAATTTTCTGATCTTCTCATCACTCTTGGGAGCTTTGTGAGTAGTCTGTAAAAATTTTCCTCTAGCATTGACGTTATCGATCTCGTCCGAAGATTGTCGATAATCGCGTGATTAATCTCATTCAGGGAATTCTTCGCTGGATCTCTTACCTCTTGTTCGTCATCTTCAGATAGAGTGATCACCACGTCCACGAGGTCAGCGATATTTTCACTCATATTTCTGGGACATTTGGTTGTTAAGAGAAAAATTGTTGTGAGGAGTTCTCGTCTCACTTTGGGATGCGAGTGTTTTGAGAGATCAGCGAGGGTCTTCAGGGGCAGTGTGAGTTTTTCAGACGTTGCCTTGAGCCATTCGACTGTTCGAACTGTTTTCAGGTACTTCTCCTTGTCCTCCTGTGTAGTGAGTTTTAAATTAACTCCTAGGGGATCAGGCGAGCTAGAGGCTACTGAGGTTTCAGGTACCAGTGGAAGAGACAGTCCTGGGTCCTCCAGTGGCGAATCTCCCATCACAAGAGTTATAACTCTGCCCAGAGCTCTTACCGACATCTGAAATTGATCAATTATGTGAATATCGTGAAATACTGTATTGTAGGTATAAAAATATAATTGTCTTGGGCGGTGGATTGTAATGTGCAGAATTCAATGAGTGAATTGATAAATACCAAAGTAACTTTATGATTCTGAGTGTCACTTCCACCGGCAATATCGAGCATGCCACGAATAATCCCAGGAAAATATAGCATGACTACGTCAGCCACTTGGCTCCTCAAAACAACATCAGAGACGTCAGCTTCATCGTGAGTGTATGAAAGAGTCATCAGAGTTTCCATCGCTGCAATCTTCAAAGTGGAGTATTTTTCCTCCTTGGCGATGGAGACACAGGCGAAAAAACTCTCACTGAGTCTCAACGAATTGTCTCGAGTGTAGATCAGCTCAATGAGGTCTGACGATGCAGCGAGGAACAAGTGTCTCAGACAATGCATTATGTTCAATTTCAGTTCTTCATGTTCTGGAATTAACACAGTTGGTTGTCGAGCATCACGCACTTGACTCAAAAGAATCGAATGCAGTTTGAAGAACAATTCGATTTTTTGAACTCTTACTCTACTCAGTACAGCTTTTATGATATTTAGTAATTGTAATCGTATCTCCAGTTTGATGGCCCCGTGTTCCAAATGCACAAGTGGCGGAAACAACACATAATCAGCGAGATTTTCTAAAACAGATCTAGGCAAATTGCTCAGGCAATCGCACACTTTCTCGGCATTTTGTTTATTTGGATTTTTTATTAATGAATCGCAGAGCGGTTTGAGGCTGGAGAAGGCCTGATGAGCTGTAATTTCACTCATGTTCTGACACATGTTGGGCGATTTGTATTTATAATGGGAAGGGAGTATTTCTACTGTGCAGATGATCAGGTTCTTGTGTATAAAGAAATTTGAAAAATCATAGTTGGTGAATGGAACTGAAGGTATGTAACGCAAACAAATATGTATTGATGGCAGATGTCACGTGTTCACGACCGGTCTTAAAGGGAACTGCAATACTATACCAGAGATTCACTTTTTCTAGCGGTGGCGTTTGAACTAATCGGGAGGATTAACCGTGCGAATAAAGAAGAATCCGAGGATGAAAGTGTCGATAATTTTGAGAAGCCGTGAGTGTGAATAAAACAGAGCGCAAAGTTGAGATCGTCGATAACTGAAAAATGCGGATGGAGAACATTTTGAACTTGAAATCGATCCGCTACCCCTTGTACACCTTCGATTTATTCCTACATCCTCAGGAAATGTGCCTAAGGAATGTAGGAATCAAATGGAAAAGGACAGAAATGGCTACGTCTATTTATGGGGGTTTCACGTTTTCTGGAAAGCATCTCGTTGCAAATTCGGGATGTATCAATGAATATCAATGAATTCGATAACACTCTCGCCGAATTCCCAAATTCCCCACAATATGATTTATTATTTTTAATATATCGTTACAAGCGTGTCAAGGACCGTTGGCTAATTATTGCTGACGATGACCGTTGAGCCACCAATTATTCTTATTACCGTGGAAAAATCATGGCGAATTCACGCTCTAGATGCCCATTGAAATAAATATATGGAAACAATAATTCACTTCCGCTAGTACCTATTTATACAGAAAAAATAATAAGAATACCTACCACTTTCACGCACATAGACCAGGACTTCCGTATATATACTTACAGGTGAAAAGTAAAAGTTAAACCGGTCCGCTCAATTTCCAGATATATCTTCCTTCTTTATTCATCCATTTTCTCGTACCATTTCCTGGCAAGCGCTCATTACTGTCAACGATGAGCGTAACATACCGGTTATAACATCTGAAGGATATTGTGATAGGAATCATTCGCAGAAATAAGCTACACATATGGTAATGACCCAAATAAATAACCACCTCCTACTGGTTTATCGAGTATAAATTCCCGAACCGGTCAATTCCAAATTCAGTTACTAATTTCTAATATAGGAAGACGACACACTAATCATGGTAATATGAAATTACAGATAGAGAAAAAATTATCATAATTTGGCGGATATGTTATAAATAAGATGGGAATTTTCACTGCAATTTTACTGCGAATAGGGGAACTCGTTTTATTTTATTTCTGCTAACTTATTTTCATATAGCATTCGCTTAAAAAATATTTGTTCAATTTTTTTATACGAAATGTGATATTCCGTAGAGGAAGAGCTGGCAATAACAACAACAATTGAATATTTGCATCTCGATTATTGTTTTATTTGAAAATCCAGATTTATTTTGCTTGAATGAGATTGAAACAGTATTTGAAATAAACAATTCCAAAAAGGATTCTAGTTTCATAATTTCGACTCGGGAAAATGAGCGCTAAAAATAGTATTAAATAAAAATAAGTTACCAATTAGAGTCTTACAATTATTGTCTGACAGATTCTCTGGAAATTGGTCTTCCTGTTGGCGACAATTCTGGCGATAGTGGTGGGTCAACCCGGAGATAATTCAGTTCGTGGTGGTGCAATAACCGCCTATCCGATTCCTCAGAGGCCCTTCTACGCAGGCAGTGACTCCATTTACCCAAAACCATCGACCACTCAAGCAAGTCCCAGACGATAATTTGCGAAAGCTGTTTGTCGAATATTTCGCTGAAAAAATTGACCACTCCAAGGTTACAAGACACTTTCTTCTTTATGAAATCTAATTTACTGTCATTTCATTGCTGAAATCAAGGATTCGGATAATTCTTCAGAGGGGGGTGGGATGGAGTACAATATTACTGTTTAATAACTCCGCTCACGTACTCTCGTAACACGTAAAGTCACGCAAGAATGAGAATCGAGACAATTCAGCCTGATAAATTCACTTTTTTTAGATTCAATGCATTGTGCAGGTCTTGTTGATATGAATAAATAAATTCCTCACGTGAATCACCAGTTTTCCTAAGAATTTCCCGAAGAGTAATGTGGACGTTTCATTATTATCTCGCTGTATATTTCTATTGATATCCTATTACAATTTTATTAATATTTTCAATTATGATTCCTGCATTTTTCGGCGATAAAAATGGTGGAAAAAATCGTGTGACTTGGGTGACTTCTCGTCCGCTCAATCTACGATCGAGTTTTTTTTCCTCCCTAAAATCCCCATCCCGAATTGACATTGAATCCACGTAAGTTGAAAATTCCCTGCTCTTTTTATACTTTATTTACCACCTCGGTGCCGATATTGTGCGGATTATGTGATTTCTTCATCCATTGTATCAGACTGCACCTCACGTCCAACCTCAACTGCACTAGACACAATAAGATTATTGAAAAGGCAAGTCAATACTTGAAATATTGAGCAAGATGGTTGAAAATGGACCAATCCCCTTAAAAAAAAAGTGTTCCGTCATAGCACAAAATTTTACGGACTTAAATTCGCAATTTACTGGGCAATAAAGTTCCTACATTTTGCCGAGAACGCATTGTGTAAATGTTAAATTGCGGACTGAAGAAAAAATTATCCTCAGCGACTGGTTTTTTTTTTCGCTTGACCGGGAGGAACCAATTGATGAATAATTCACAACACCCGCTTCAACCCACGTTGAATCGGAATTTATCGGAAAAATACAGTAATCCGTGACCTCCAGTGTTTATCTTGTCATTTATCTCGGATAGACTTTGCACGTGTTCGTTGGAGATTTCAATGTCAGCTCATGCACAGATTCCCGGGACGTTTGAATCTTTCCTTCCCCCAACGCATGCGTGTCTGCGTGTCAGTGAGAAAACCGTGTGATGATCGTTGATGATTGCGTTATTGCATTCACTCAGTAGAAATTTTACTCCCTCTCTCACACCAACACATGATTTGAGCTGTCGCAAAGTCACATTTTCCTTCTGTCAGTCTCGTTTTCCAGTCGCGCGCGATCGCATCAACTGCTGAATCACTTCCGAAAATTATACAGCACAAAAATATTACACCTGTCACTTAAATTTGCTGAACCAAAAAGTCACCAAAAACTTTTGCAAGAAAATCACATGCTGATTTTTATATCTTTTTTGTTTTGCAATCGCCTCAGTAAATGTAGTGGGCAAAAGTAATTTTCGTTCGCAGCTGATGATTTTAGTGTTTTTGTTGTGTTGTTCTGATTTAGTCGGGTTTTTTTTTAGTGATTTCTCTTGATGGTTTAGGGATCTGTTTGAATTTAATACAAGAATCATGAGATTTCCCGTCTTTGGGAGACGGACAGTTCAATTTCTTATGCCGGTTCTGATTGGCTCATGTGTCAGTATGGCCTCCAGCGGTCAACCCGCGTCGGGTCAAAGGGTCGGTCCATCACTAATCATCGATGGTATCAATAACGTGGCTAATAGTGCTTCTAATTTTCGTGAGTTTCTCCATATGAATTATATTAAATCATCGACTACAAGTTTCCCTGGGGAATTCTGGAATTATAGATCTAGCATTTCATCTAAACCGTTGAAATTACATTTTAAAACGTGATCTGCGGGCAAAGCAAAATTCAGTAAAAAGTGGGAGTCGGAACTGAAATGGCACAAACTGTCACGTAAATACTACGATTTCTTCCGTAAAATCGTTCAATTTCATTTTTTCGGAAACAACTAACAAATTTTACGGAAAATAAAGCAGAAATAAGTCATAAAAAGTTCCAGAAAAATTAATTACTGGTGATTTGACAGGATAATTCAACATTCAATGAATATCCTGAAGTATATCACGTGTATCAGATGTTTAAAAAAATGACTCATTAATGAGATTCCGCACTTTTGATGACCCCTGAATCGTTGAATCAGCGAAGGCGATGATTATTCATTATCTTTACCGCTGATTCACATATTTTTCATTGAAATTTCAAGAGCAATTTAGATAATGGATTTTTTAATCATAATAGCTGATCATTATTAATGCGTATGATCTTCCGAGGTCCAAGTGCACTCTCAGCTGTTGCGGTTAAAGTGTCCAGTGAATAATTATGAAGTACCCAGAAGCAGAAGCCGGGATATCACAGAATGAAGTCTGGTCTTTAATGAATCACCCGATGATTAATCGCCTGTTGTTTTTTCTATTTGTCCATTTCTAGAATAACAAGAGCCCCGACTTTGTTTGCGGTTTCCTCTGATGTTTAATGGATTTTGCAATTTGCATATGAACGAATATGAGCATTAGCTCCAGTCAATGACGTAGAATAAAATCATACAGTTGTTTTGCCTTACCCGGAAGATCGAACAAATCTATTTTTCCTATTTCCTCGGTGATCTGGAACAAATGATTGCAATTACCACTTTTTTAATTTTTGTTTCATTGCAGTGAATGGAGTTGTCCAGCGGCAGAAGGAAATACTTCATCACGTCGCGGATTCTGCAACGGATTACGGTAATTGTATCATTATGAAGATATGAAATAATTGCAGGTATATTGTTGTGGCTTCAAGGATCAACTTTATGGATTTTCCAGTGATTAACAATTAAATAATTACACGCAAAATGACGGATAAGGAGAGTTGCCAATCAATTAACAAAGATGTGGTTTGATTGCATAATTATTAAATAACCAATTAAATATGGACACTCGGGGGCATTTGAGATGCCAAAGGCACGCCAGAGCTGTCAGTCTGTTGAGTGGATTTTCAGTGATTATGATGTATTTTCAATTATTCAGTTGCAAATAATTTCAGTGGCGAATGCTGTGGAGAGGCCTCGCTCCCTCATCATGAACACCGCTCTGATGACCAGTAATTACAGTAAGTTATTTGATAAACATTAGAGACGCTCACATAACCCACACTAATGTCATGAAGGATAGTTGACAGTGCCGCGTCAATTGGACTTGATTTTAAACTTAGGAGATTACTAGAGAAGTTTCGCACACGTATGACACATGGATTTGCAGAATTTGGAATACCGATACTTGAACCTCTTCAACTTGACGGAGTTTACTACGAGACACACAATCCAGAAATCGGCGAGTGAGTAAATAACAATTGTTCAAATTTACCCTGAAATTCTCATAAAAATATAAATAAACTGAAAAGAATAGTCATCCATAAAATGTTATACACAAAATCAAAGATTTTCATTTACTTTATTTACAACAAAATCCACATATTGCAATATAAATTTACCTATAGAATTTCTTGTAACAACTGCTACAATAATTAATTGACAATAATATAGTTTTTTATTTGACTAGACATAGAAAATAAGATTTTCAAGCATGCGATTATGAAATCGAAATGTACTCTTTTGCGAATAAGTATTTATCGTAATGACATGGACATATTGACAAAAAGAGAAAAATGAACAGACGAAGCTTTGTTGTTCGTACATACGTCATAAACATCCAATTGTCATGAGAAACAATGAAGTACGATTAATAACATATGTCTGGATTGAAAGGAGAACTTAATGGCTCCCCTATGCATTCGGGTGAATAGTTCCTGATTCATGATGAATGTTACAATGTGAGGAGATAGAATATTTGTGAGAGATGTGCGGGAACGCTGAGAAGTTCATTCGAGTTGTTTGAGATTGTCTAGGAAAATAATTGTAGTCTGGAAAAAGTGATCAGAGAATTCTTCGAAGTTTTCTAGGTCACGCGCGAGGTCTAGAATGTGGAAATAATGTTTGAAACGAAAAGGTCAGGGGAATTGAGGGTACATGGGTGATTTCCCTGATATCCTATCCCTAGGATAAAATTATTATATTTATCTCAAAAGATATGATGCATAATTGGATATTAGATAATTATCAAGCCAGCAATGTTTTTAATTGAATTTTGTCGTCAGCTAATGATGAATTTAACGTGCATTTGCTCTATAGATGATAATGAAAAAAATCAACAGATAAATGGGCGATAATAAATAGACAATAATAATAAAATAATAGAAAAATAAAAAGAGTTGATTCGAGATGTTGGCGTATTTAATATAAAGTTACGAATTGTAAGGACTCAATACGAGCACTTAACCTATTGATTTGAAGTAATTGCGAGGGTAATAGGTACTCCTTTCTGCTTCAATTCCTCAAATATTTCTCGGTCCGTTTCACCGCCGTCTACCGAAGAAACCTAAATGAACAAGATCATTACTATAAGTCGTCGAAAATCCCTGAGTGCTGCTGACACTTTCGTTGCTCAGAAAACTTTTTTGGGAGAACATAAAAGGTACAGTCTGTTCAGCTAGTTTCACTTTCTCTTTTGCCGAAGTGAGAATGATGTTGCATTAGGCGCAATTATATTATGATAATTACTCTCATAAAGGCAGTCTCCAAATTAAGGCTTTCTTTATTCCGGGATTTAACAACTTTTTCTTATTACTCATCAATAAAATAGAACTAGCTGCTGGTAATTTGATGCGATCCTCTCAGGATTTTTCCTGTTGATGTCCGTAGATTATAGCCCACAATTTCTTGGAGACCATCTTCTCCAGAGATTTACAATTTATGTTGTAATTCATTGCTCTGAATTTTCAACATTACACTTGACTCTAACTTTTTTCTTCCGTCGATCGTTGCAAGTTAATTGCAACATTTATAGAAGATGACGCCGCGATGGGCGTTCTTTCATTGAAAAAGTCAAATAAAAGATTGAACAAGTAATCTAAGAAGCATGTAAATTCTGGAAAAGTATTTTGTAATCTCACAAAATAATGAGAAGCTCTTTTTTTAATTCATCGTCACTCTAGATTCGGCAATTGAAAATCTCGAGAGTCCCACGATTTTTCTTACTTCCCCGTGGTTTTGAAAGTTACAAACAATAAATTGCAGGACAGATTTCCTACGTGATCTGTGATGAGTATTTCTGCAAGGGATTGCCTAAAAAATGAAAACTCTGTTGCCTTCTCATTGCAATAACGAAACTATGCGCGAAACCACAAGTTATGTTATTATCGACTTTCATAAATTTCAAAGGCAAAGCTATTATTCGTACTATTGCGCAAGTTAAATTCACTCAGACATAATTTGCGGAAGAGAAGATAAAGTTGTGGTAATATCGTAATACTATTAACATTGCAGATTGAAATTGCTCTTGGATAATTTGACGATTTCTGGGGTATCGTCGTTTGTGGTGGATCGAGCGAGACTGTCACTGATCGGACCGTCGATTGCGATGAACCTGACCTTCCCAAAATTATATCTCGAGGGAGATTACAAACTTGGCGGAGTTCTTGGCGATATGTTCAAAATTCATGGTGCAGGTCCAGTTACATCGGCAATCACCGACTTGAAGATATATTTTGCTACCGTTCTCGGTTACTCCCGGGGCATGTACCTCAAGAGTTTTGATATGGATTTTGATATCGGACACATTGAGATGTACCTCGGCAACTTGATGGGCGACGAGAAGATCGGAAAAGTCATGAACGAAGTGAGTGTTCAACAATAATTGTTGCTCAATAAAATTTAATATAAAAAAATCAGAAAATTACCGTAGTGATAAAGTTGATTTTTCACCACTCGTTTCTAGCCGATATCTCGGAATTGAAGGAAGATAGCGATTTTTTCGTAAAGACATTGTCCATGAAGAATTACGAGAGCTATAAAAGAGATATTTATGAAAATATCATTAAATTCCTTCAATCCCGACATATTGGCTAAAAACGGGTGTGAAAAAAATGCAATCATCCTAGTTCATCATTTCACTACAGAATTGGCAATTCAATAGTTTTTTTTTATCCTCGGAAATCTACAGGTGATCCAGGACGTTCTTCCCCAAGCCCTTGAAATAATGAAACCGGATATAGTGCCTCGTATCCAAGATTTTATCGCCAGCAGAGTGAACAATACAATTTACCATTTAACAATGAGAGATGTATTGAGCTTTCTCATCGGGGAGAGCGAAGTTCGCAAGTATCCGCATCTCCTCCATCCAAGATCGAAGTGAAATAACAAATGTGATTAACTTATTTCAACAGGTTTATCGGTTTTTCCATGACATTGTGAATTATCACGGTTACCTTATCACGGTCGGCTGAAATAATTTATTAACTACTAAATATTGTCTTGAGGGAGTGATATCGAACGTCTTCTTGACACGCGCTACCGTAATTCGTTAGAGTGGTTTTGTCAATGATCCTGAACAATGAGAAGAAAATATCTATCAATGAATTGGCCGATTTTATTTTTCGTGCGTGTGCTCCATTCAATTTACCAAATTGAGTGGAGTATATCTTCTCGAATTCTATCGCTTCAAACTTCTCACTCGTGAAATTGAATAATCAAAAAATCGATGGAACATTTTGAAATAAAAAAAATTAGGTAATGAAGCAAATCTCAAATAAACATGTTATCTTTTCAATTGTCTCGAGTTATTCACCACTCCTCACCTTCTGTCACCTTTACACACCTTCTGCAAATTTATGAACAATTTTTTATCGAAACTAACAGAGAAAATTCAGAATTATGATAATTAAGTTAGATAATTCATAGAAATATACTGTGACTGTTTCTTCATTTCCATATCTCGAAGTTACTTGAGGGAAATGCGCATTTCGATAGGAAAATATAAATATTACTTAATCATTAATAGATAAATTGACTAATTTAATATGTGAAAAAAGACACGACATAAATTGGGGAAAGAAAAACCGCTCCGTTAAATTCAATGAGCGAGACAAGTTTATCACCCCCGATCGATCCCACAATATTCCCGAGGACATTACACTTGCTCACGATTGTATTCATCGAGGGGATGCTGCAGGATCGTTCAACGAAATTCGTGCATCAACAGGCGCAACAGTTGGCACTAGCGAAAATTCACAATCGGGAAAATCTCATGCGCAATGAAAATGCGAGCAAGTGAGACGACGATAGGTAGAAAACTCTGACGGACATGCGTAAGATTCGTCGGATATATCCAGAGGTCTCAGACTAGTCTCATTCAAACGACGTCCGTCGACGGACGCGCGCGGTTCCACTGAGAACGATCCCCTAGACATTAGAATAATCACCAATTAATCAACCTCCAGCTGGAAAAAATTAAACAAATAAATATACACCAATTTTCAATAGAAATTTTTGCTTACGATAATCCCTCAATTTCTTTAATCCCTTTATAAATGAAAGTAGATAAATCACCGAGCTGCAGAAAGAGGAATTTTTTCGATCTCACTTACTTCCTGCAAAACAGATAGTGCTACAACCTTCGTTGCATTATCAACAGTCCTGTAAACAGCAGTAACAAGTTGCAGTCTCGCATTCAATGACTTTTTCCACTCGAAATAAGTGAAACGTACTATTATTATCACAGTGGTACTGGTGTTTCACGTTATCACTGTAATCATTATTACGATAAACAGAATCGATGGTATTGTATCAGTTTGTTGGGAATAAAAATAAAATGATACAACTGATCTTCACGGAGGTAAATAGACGAGTGTCGATAAATGTGTAAATAGTGATTTCACGTGGAGTCCCATATTATTTTTCAGTAGTGACTGGTGAATCGATGAGGTAGGACTATTTTCCGGGTACTCATTGTTGATATTTATCATTGTAATAAGGAGTTGTGAGGGAGAAAAATGAAATGCTGAAAGCACCTGGGGGCTCACTGTGATTTATACGACGGGCATTTAGGACCTCTTGCACTCGGTGAGTTATTTGCATTGTTATTACTTGTCGTTACTCCTTGTCGTTTCTCCATACCCCGGGACATTATCATTCGCCAGTTAAGTGCACACAGTCTGTGCTGATCGTAACGTTCGACACGAGTGTAATGTTAATAGCGCAGCTATGACGGGATTTTCTTCGAGAACGCATCATCCGGATTATCACATTGCTATGGGTGATTTGTTTACGACAATCCACATGAGTAATACTAGCCGTCAGCCGCCTTTTTCTGTCCTATATATTCCTATTCTTATCATTTTTCCAGCCTTGTTTTAAATAATCAACACGTGTGTAAATACATCGATATAGCGGTAACGCTTCCTTCGGAACATGCCATTATTTTTACTTCTCAATGTATTGATCTCGCTATCGATGAGTCTAAAATTCAATTCGTCGAGAGGGGGAAACTTTATGAATTCCTCCGTTAGTGGCAGTTTCATTGTGATGCCCTCAGAAATGATAAGGAAATCGTTGGCAGAATTTTTTTCACATTTCGTGACGAGTGAGATATGTGATTCTTGAGGGAGTGACATTCCATTGGATTTAGGTAAAAATCCATGTGACGTTGGAAATTCTTCACTGATTAATCAATTAATTTATTTAATTCAATTAATATTATATATATTTCCCTGAATTTTCAATCTATCGGGAATTTTTTTTTTTATCTATAATGATTAAATATTGAACATCCATCATTAATTATGGAATACCTACTTTTTCTTATTTTCAAGATACAATGATATTTTCAAGAATTGCATTCGGCTCTAATTTCTCCTCTCAAATTATTTAAAATCATTACGTTCATGTCAATATCTGTGAGTTGCTTTCAGTGGTGAAATCTCCATTAAATCCAAATGACGCGAAATTTCTTAACACCCCATCAAATTTGTTTTTCGATTCACGACCAACTTTCTCAGTATTTCAAAAACAATTTCATATTTCCACCCGGCGAATTGTCATTGCACCCCGATAACTCGTGACGTTATTCGCAGCTCCTGAAAACCCGATGTTTTCCATTTAAACTTTCGAAATTTCTGTCGAAACATAAAAAGCACTTTGTCGCTATTTATCCGGAGACTTCGAGATAGTCTGAAATATATTTTTGTGCTAAAACCCACATTAATCTGTCGGACAAGTGTACAGAACTTGGGGGACAAAGTTAATACGTACTCAAGTGGAAATACTCCGGAAATAACATGGATATCACATGCGAGATCTGGTCGATCGCACCTTTATCTTCATTATATTCTCTTACCTCGAAAATTCAAATCTCTTGGGACTTTGAATTAATTGGAGTGACTTGAGAGGTGGACTTCACCCGCAACTTCACCCCAACTGGTGAAACGCTCATGGGGTTTCACAGTGAACCTCTCATTGCGGTGTAAGAGCCTTCTGGGTCATTTCCGATGGACGAACAATTAACCTTAATCAGTTTACTTGATGCCTGAACTGCTGTTGTCGATTAATAGGAATTCTGATAACGCATTGAAGATTTTATTGGGTGTCACTGTGATAATACACCTTTATTCCGGAGAAGTTGAGTGGATTGTCAATTCGTGTGTCAATCAAACTGTCAAACCGGCTATTGATAATTAATATATCACGCTCATGAGACTGCAAGGTATCTTCGATGAATGGCGGTGCTAAACGTCTGTCTTATTTCTCTACATATTTAAACAATTTTTTAATAACCTTCGGATGAATGCAATAGTCTAAAAATAAATAATTCGAAATTTTCTTCAATTTGTGAATAATTCAAGAGTGAATTTATTATCAGATTTGTCACGCCAAGATGTGGGTCTTTATTTTTTCACAGTCACACGATTGGCAGAGCTGGAGTTGTTGAAGGTTTTTGTTTATTTAAATCAATTTTATCCCTGAGTTGAGGTTTAAAAAATGTTTTATCTTATCGTGTCGGGCTACGTGGAACGCTCAAATCTCTGGACTGTCCCGCGCTAATTTAATTGATCAACAATTGAAATTGTTTGGATATTATTCATCGGCTTATTCCCATGGGTAAGTGCCACTACAGGCAGTCAATTCAATTTCAAATTGTGCCGCACTTTCTCGCTGTTTAAAATTGTGTTCAATACATAGTGACGAGTGACGAGGGCCCCCGATACTAATTCCATTATTGAATTTTTCCATAAAGAGTAATGACTCTCGTAATAAATCTCATCAATATGTGGTGAGCAATCAATCGGGAAAATTTTTTGCTCTCAAGAGGCGTAACTCAATTTGCAAATTGAGAGAGACGGGATACAATCTATCTCGATCAATTTCAATTTTCCACTCTGCAATGTTGCGTGAGGGAAATAATTTATGATGCTACTGGAATCTTTGGCCATTGGCTAAATTATTTGGGAGAGATGTCATTTGTATCGCGATTTTCTTTAAAAATTCTATTATCTCGTGTTTTGCATTATTACCATTTGCCAAAGGTAAATTATTACAATAATGATAAAAATACGGATTTTGTGGGGAATCATAGTGGCAATTAGGGGAATCCCAGATCGTTAGTTCAACCAGATAGGGATCGATCATACTCGGAAGACCGGAGGGTTCTTGAGTGTTTGATTACATATATATCCATGACATTATAGAGACATTCTGTGCAAATTATCGACGTCAAAAGGGATTATTAATGCTCCATCAAACCAGTCTTAATCGTGATTATCCTTTGATTTTCCCCGGTAATTTAATTAACAATATTGACATTTATGAAAAAATTATCCCGTGGTCCGGACGGACCTCTTCATAGAGTCAGAAAAAGTGCTTTTATCAATTTGCAACTATTGATCAGTTCAAACGCAATTTTTTTCCACTTGCTAACTTTTTGGAGCGCAGAATCTCATGAAATACATTTCTCTTTAATTTTCTTTCACAATGCACGAACTCAATTGGTCTGTCCCGAGGGTAATTTTTTTTTTATTTTTACATTTTTTCCTTTTCCTATTACCATTGTTACCATGATTTGATAGGCGCCCCTTCGTCTTAGCCTTTTAGCCTCTCCTACTATCCTCTCATTAGCCTCTCCTACTATCCTCTCATTATTTTTGCGGTAGCATGGGCCGACTTTCTGTACTGCGCCCATTTGGCGTGTACTGAGGGAAACCATGTAAAACCTCAGTAGCGCAGCCGGCCGGTACTGCGGGGATTCTGCTGTGTTCATCAGTCACACTGACTCGGTGAACACACCAGCTCTCCGCACCCGTGCCTGACGGCGGCAGTCTACACGCCGATGGGTGTGACTAAGCGGGCACCCATCCAAGTACTAACCCAACTGAGCGTTGCTTAGCTTGGGTGATCGCCGGAGTCACACACCGCCCGCGTGGCTACTGTCGCCGCTTCTCCCGAGGGTAATTAGTTTCGACATTCTCACTCTCCTATTTTCAATTATTTTTCTGTCCGTTGATAATCGGCGTTTGGAGTCGTTCCGCAATAATCACCTTCGGCTCTTCACAAGAATGAATACCCAACTTGGGATAAAAATTAATTTAAAAAAGTTGAAAGCCTGGAGTCTCATCGATGGAACTATACCCTGAGGTGTAGCAGAAATTCTCAAATCAACTCAGTATCCATAACATTTTCTTTTGATAATACAATTCCGGGAATCTCGAGGATTTCACATTGAATAGAGTTATTTACGCTTTGAACAGCGACTGCCAATGAAAAATATCGAGAAACTCCTGGTTTCTAGAGTTGACGGCATCCAAGACTTGAATCCTTGAATGGAAAGAATGAATACCCCATAATTGCGAAAGAGAAGTTGTACAATTTTTCCCGGAAATATTCACTTGCCCCCAAGATCAAAGACTCCACGAGTTTCTCAATGCACCGGAAATTATAGTTTTTGCGTTCTCCATGTGTGAAATGTGAGTGACTACGTGTAGATGACGATGAAAAATTTCTGGACGGCAAGATGTAATTTTGAAGAATCCAGAGTTTCAAATCTGATCTGTACTTGGAGAAGAGCGTTTTCACGGCAAATGACATTTCAGTCCTACGTGATGCGAATTATTCCTCATGGTGTCATAAAATGCAGCTGTCTCAACCAAGAGGCAAAGAGGGAGAATTGTATTTGAATAATTTCATCATAGTTTGAACACGTTCCAACGAGCTTATCCCTTTGACAGTTATTTTTGTCGTGGAATTTCCTTTTTCCCCCTTTTTTTTTCCTTTTTTGACTTCGCTGTATCGAGTTTTCCGGGTACAACACAGGAGGGTTGATTTTATTTTTCAGTTACGGTAACAAGACTAATCTGTATTCCTATTCCAGAGTTGAAATGGGAAAACAGGGGTGAAAACTCCTGGGGGAAAGTTCCCGAAGATGTATGGCCTCGAAGCAATATATGTGCGCCTTCGACGTAATCTTTATTTACTTTGATATTTTCGTTTCTTCTCACCCACAGTTAATACATCAACTTCCGATTAGGCACATGTTGTGAACCTGAAGATCATGATTGATTTTGCTTTCGAATGAAGGCATTGTAAACGTTCGATTTTTAGATTTTATAATTTTGCCATCATGTAAAAATACGAAGTTTGAGGGCCATGTGTGTCTGTGCAGATGGTAAATTTTGACAATAGAAGAAATACAAGTAGGCGAATTAATTCTCAAAAATCTGAAATTTTATCGAAACTGTCAGTTCATAGGTAATATGGACTTGATCGCTCCCAAATTTCAGCACAATCGATCCAGTAGTTTTCGGGATATCGATGATTGTTTCTGAAAAGTTTTTTGCAAATATCTGAGAGAGAGAGAGAGAGATTTCTCTTTTGAGATGTCAATGTGCTCTCCATAGATCACTCAGATTTTGTTATTCTCCTATCAACTTCTTTTCCGAAAAAATCGTTCTCTACCTTGCTACCAATTGTATTAGTAGAGATGAAAAATTAAAAAAAACAATATCGCATAAAGTAATGATGAAATGTCTCCTGCCAAATAGGCTCGACCAACTGCCTGTTTTTTTTCAAAGGTT